GATGACGTTAAGAGAAGAGTCTCAATGAAGGTCGGGGGTGTTGTATTCTGTTGCATGGCTAGTCGTGCCATTCATGTTGACATTGCAAACAGTCTGTCATCTGAAAGTTTCCTCATGACTTATCAGAGATTCACTGCGATTAGAGGGCACCCGAAGAAAATCTGGTCCGATCCTGGAACTAACTTCATCGGGGCAAGACCTTTTCTGAAAGAACTTTACCAGTTCCTGGACAGTATAAATAAAACGGGTCTGGAGGAATATGCAGCCAAAAAAGAGACGGAGTGGGTGTGGAAAATTCTTCCTGCTGATTCGCCACATCGAAATGGAGCTGCAGAAGCTGCTGTACGACTTGTTAAAAGAGCTCTTCAAGGTATTGGCAAAGACTCCTCTCTCAGTTACAGCGAGTTCCAAACAACCCTACAAGTTGCAGCAAATCTGACAAATGAGCGTCCAATTGGTGCAAGGACACAAAGCCGAGAGGATTGCATTGAGTACATAACACCCAACTCTCTACCCTCGGCCGAGCATCGGAGAGTGGGGATTGTAAAACCTTCGACTTTCCCACCTATCCCTACAGTCGACTTAGGAAAATGCAAGACATCGTGACACAGTTTTGGAGGAACTGGAGTCAGCTTGCTGGTCCTAACCTCTTTGTGAGAAGCAAGTGGCACACTTTCCATAGGAATGTTGCAGTTGGGGATATTGTCTGGCTAAGTGACCAGAATGCATTAAAAGGACACTTCAAGCTTGGAAGAGTCGTTGGAGTAAATCCAGACAGTAAAGGCATTGTAAGGGACGCCCAAGTGCAGGTCTCTCCTAGCTATTGCACCCCCCTCATAAAGCATGTGAAACGAGGACAAACTCAAGGGAGAGGAAAGGATTTCCAACCCGTCGTCCTACACAGAGATGTCCGAAGGCTCATCGTCCTGTTACCAGTTGAAGAGCAAACGGAACATTAAATTGAAAAGAAGAATCAACAAACTGACGATCCTCCCATGGATATCACAGAAGGATCGAGTGGGAGGTGTCAAGTCAGGCTTGGACTTTTTTGGACTAGGAACCATGTTCAGCAGAAGGGGTTCCACGGGGACAATAAAGGTGGTACACCTCTGAGCTGTAATTTCACCAGAGAGCATGGTGTTCTGAGTCAGCTGTTCAGTGACTTCAGAACTAAATACATCCACCAAAATCAGAGAGGCAGCCGGTAAGATAAATATATGATATATTTCTGGTTGTGTACGGACTTTGCTGCTGGTTAGGCGGTTGGGTGGGAAACCTGACCTGATTGTTTGTTTGTTTGCTTACCTAGGCGTGGCCCAAACAATTGAGTCTCTGTTGATTTGGCTGGTATAATCTTTGTTTGTGGTTATTTGCCAGTTAGTAA